CTCTGGGCCTGGGTGCTGTCCCTCAGCTCTTCACTCAAGGCTAGCACACTACCACTTGAGCCACAGCGCCACTTCTGGCTTTTTTCTTTTTTTTTTGCTTATGTGGTGCTGAGGAATTGAGCCCAGGGCCTCATGCATGCAAGGCAAGCGCTCTACCACTGAGCCACCTTCCCAGCCCCAACCCGTGAGATTCTTATCTCCAACAAACTACTCAAAAAAGCCAGAAGTTGCACTGTGGTTCAAATGGTAGTGTGTTCTCCTTGTGCAAAAGAAGCTCAGGACAGCACCTACGCCCAAAGTTCAAGCCCCAGGACCTGCAAAAACAACAACAACAGCAACAACAAACCACCAAAAACAAACGAACAAATAGTGTGTCTCTTTTTTTGCCCTGGATAGCATTAATTTACAATCCTTCCATTTATACCTCCCAAGTACCTGGGATTATATGTATATACTACTAGACTTAACATGACCATTTTATTTTAGTGAGAAAAAGAATGCTTTAGACAGAATCATTCAACTACTCTCAAAAGCAGGTACCTTAATAAATATCATTTACAAACAACAAAAAAGGAGATACCTACCTCCTCTCCCTCACTGGTATTACCTGTTGCAGCTTTGGCTTGGGCATAATTAAAGTTAAAGATGTCATCGTTATAGAAGTAACTCTAAAAAAAAGAACAGGTCATGTTGAGCATTAATATTTAAAATATAAAACCAATTACGGGTGGCATTGTCTAAAAGGAAATGTACTCATCTGACTTATATAACTGTAACTCCTCTGTACATCAACTTTATAGCAAATATATATATTTATATATACATATAGATAGATATGTATTATTTATTTATTTATTTTTGCCAGTCCTGGGTCTTGAACTCAGAGCCTGGGCACTGTCCTTGAGCTTTTTTTGCTCAAGGTGAGTACTCTACCACTTGAGCTACATCACTACTTCAGTCTTTCAGTTTATGTGGTACTGAGGAATTGAACCCAGGGCTTCATGCATGCTAGGCAAGCACTCTACCACTAAGCCACATTCCCACTATATATATATATATATATATATATATATATATATATATATATATTTTTTATTTTTGCTGGTTGTGGGGCTTGAACTCTGGGCCTGGGCACTGTCTCTCAGCTCTTCAGCTCAAGGCTAGTGCTCTACCACTTGAGCCACAGCACCACTTCTGGCTTTTTCTGTGTATGTGGTGCTGAGGAATGGAACCCAGGGCCTTATGCACGCGAGGCAAGCACTCTCCCAGCCACAATGAATTTTTTATTTTATTTTCTTAGTTGTGAAAATACCATATAGAGGGGTTACAATTACAATGAATTTTTTAATAATAATAATTTTTTTTTTTGGTGTTGGTTGTAAGGCTTGAACTCTGGGCCTAGGTGCTGTCCTCAGCTCTTCAGCTCAAGCTAATGCTTTACCACTTGAGCCACAGCACCACTTCTGGCTTTTTCTGTGTATTTGGTGCTGAGGAATGCAACCCAGGGCCTTATGCACGCGAGGCAAGCACTCTACCACAGAGCCACCTTCCCAGCTCCTTAACAATAAATTTTGTTTAAAAAGAGAAACAATACAAAAAAAAACAGTTACATTTATTATACACATAAAAGTATTCCTAGGAATTAGATTAATTTATTGATGTTAGTAATGCCACCAGAGGAAAAAGGACTATCTGTAAGAACATTGTAAATTCTGACAAAAGGTCACATAAATAATTCTATACTGACCTTAAATGAGTTGAGATAAATCAAGACATCATCAAATTGCTTCAGTAGGAAGAAACAGGAAGCCATGCACTGCCTCCCTGGTATTGTATCTGAAAGGGAGGGAAAAGAAAACCTTGTGGGGTCATTAAGCAAAAAAGTTGTCTTTAGCATTTAACAGGGGTTGCAGTCCTAGCAGGGAGACTAAGCATCTCTGTGAGGGGTTTAACGCCAGAGTCCAAAGAACACGTGCTCCGCAGTGCACTGGTTACAGCAGTCTCCACACCATTTTCCAGGTGTGGATTCTTCCATCCAATTCCAACTTCTACAAATAAGTTTATGTGGAGGACGTCCATTTTTGTCTGTTTAAAACAACCTGGCACCTCTAATCTTGAATTAAGAAATAATTTGCCCTGTAATCCTAGCTGAGATCTGAGGATTGTGGTTCAAAGCCAGCCCAGGCAGGAAAGTCCATGAGACTCTTATCTCCAATTAACCACTTGAAAACCGGAAGTGGCACTGTGGTTCAAGCGGTAGAGCGCTCTCCTTGAGCTGAAGAGCGCAGGGACAGCGCCCAGGTCCAGAGTTCAAGCCCCATGACTGACCAAAAAAAAAAAAAGAAAAGAAATAATTTGCCATGGAACTAAGCTGAATCTAACTCTGTCTTGAACACAACGTTTTTGCCTGATAACAGACTTCCATTTGGGGTAACAGAGGATAGCAGGATCCCAAACTGAAGACTCTACTCCACTTTTTTTTTTTTTTTTGTCAATCATGGGGCTTGAACTCTGGGCCTAGGCACTGTCCCTGAGTTCTTTAGCTCAAGGCAAACACTCTACCACTTAAGTCACAGCACCATTGCCAGTTTTCTGGTGGTTAATTGGAGATAAGAGTCTCATGGACTTTCGTGCCCTGGCTGGCTTTGAACCATGATCCTCAGATCTCAGCTTCCTGAGTAGCTAGGATTACAGGGGTGAGCCACCGGCGCCTAGCCCATTTCACTTATTTTTTTTTTACCACGACACTATATCACAGTCTGATATACTATGTATTTATAAGTCATGTTTTTTTCTGTCACACTGGACATATGCTCCACAAGGGTAAAGATATTTCAATAAATTTTTGTTGAATAGATGAATGACATTGAGAAGGAAATATTCTTCATATAAATGTTGGTGAAAATTTGTGAATTTCCATTTGAATGGATGAATGACATTGGGAAGGAAATATTCTTCATATATGTGTTCAATATCTCAATAAATTTTTGTTGAATGGATGAATGACATTGGGAAGGAAATATTCATATAAATGTTGGTGAAAATTTGTGAATTTCCATTGTGGTAAGAATGTTTAACAATCTGTTCAGGATGAATACTGTTAATTACAGTAGTTGTCTATGGTACCCACAGACAGGTTGTATAGGTATATTTATGCTTTGCGTGGCTCATTCTTAAATCTTACACTGTTAATGTTTTTATGCAGGGTCTCACTATGGATCTCAGGTTGCCCTTGAACTCACAATACTCCTGCCTCAGACTTCTAAGCGCCGGGATTACAGGTATCTGTACCCTACTGTACCCAGCTTTAATTTTTTTATATTAAAAAAATACAACAGGCTGGGCTGGGAAGGTGGCTCAGTGGTAGAGCGCTTGCCTGGCATGCCTGAGGCCCTGGGTTCAATTCCTCAGCACCACATAAGCAAAAAGAAAAAAAAATACTACAGGCAATTTTTTAAAATAACCGTGACCCATATGTGTGACGTGTCAAAAAGGCAAATATGTATGGAGCTGTTGAAAATTCACTAAAGCTTAATATTTCATAACTAAAACCGATTCAATTTAAAACAAAACTTTCAGGAGCTAAAGAATATACCTTCACTTATTTATTTACCTCTCTACTTTAGCTGACACGTTCTGGAGAGCCAATTCCAGTGTTTCTGACCTTGTGCTTTATAAGGTAAAGCCTAATATATATCCCCAGACAGAGAATATAACTCTACCAGTCAGTACTGCTCAACTCTAACTATGAGCTTTCAAACACAGATTTTAGACATACCACATTCACTAGCTGAGCCTCCCACCAACTGGAAGAACTGCTGGGCAATCTTCATATGATCCCTCTGAAAAATCAAACAGAACTGAGACACAGATCAGGTAAAATAGTTTATTTATACTGTATTCTATGGCTATAATATATTTGCCATGATGCCATCTGAAATATATGATATATATGATATATGATATGATATATATACACACCCTGTTTTAAATTATGCTAGAAAATAGTACTAATTCTCATTAATGTAAGCAACTAGAAAACAATAACCTGAAATGAAATTTAAAAACTTATACTAGATCAATAGGTCAATATATAAAAAGAGATCTAAATCCCCAATTCTATCCTAAAAGTACCTACATTAAATGAATCTATCTATCTATCTATCTATCTATCTATTGCCCAGTCCTGGGGCTTGAACTCAAGCCTGCCTGAATTCCCTGTTCCTTGGGCTCTGTCCCTGAGCCCCTCTGTGCTAAAGGTTAGCACTCTACCACTTGAGCCACAATGCTACTTCCGGCTACTTCCGGCTTTTTTGAGTAGTTTATTGTTGATAAGAGTCTCATAAACTTTCCTGCTTTGAACCACAATCCTCAGATCTCAGCCTCCTGAGTATTTAGGATTACAGGCATCAGCCACGAGTGTCCAACTATGAATTCATTCAACAAATCTTTAATGTGCCTCTGCTATACATCTGACCTTGTTGTAGAAGCTGGGGCCATAACAAGAAGTCCTTCAGAACTCATTTACTTATGTAGCACTTACAACTGAGCTACTATAAAAGGTGGTATAGAGAGAACTTGAGATTAAAAAAAAAAATCTTCATTTTGCCATGAGCAGGTAAACTGAATAAGGGTAATGCTCTGAATGCAAGCTCCATTACTAGCAAAAATTCAAAAAAATATAAATATCCCATTTTATTTCATAAGAAACTTGGCCTGAATAAGAGCCTAATTTTCCAGTGTTTTGGCATTTATTAAAAAGCTATCCTGGGCTGGGAATGTGGCTTGGTGGTAGAGTGCTTGCCTAGCATGCATGAAGCCCTGGGTTTCATTCCTCAGTACCACATACACAGAAAACGCCGGAAGTAGCACTGTGGTTCAAGTGATAGTGCTAGCCTTGAGCAACAGTAGCTTAGGGACAGTGCTCAGGCCCTGACTTCAAGCTCCAGGATTGGCAAAAACAAATTTTTTAATTAAATTAAAAAAAATAAAAAAGCTATTCTAGCCAGGTGCTGATAGCTCATGCCTGTAATCCTAGCTACTCAGGAAGTTGAGGTCTGAGGATGGTGATTTGAAGCTAGCCTGGGAAAGGATATGAGACTCTTACTTCAAATTAATTACAGAAAAAGCTAGAAGTAGCTCTGTCACTCAAGTTGTAGGGTGCTAGCCTTGGGCAAAAAGGAGCTCAGGAAGAGTGCCTAAGCCTAGAGTTCGAGCCCCAGAACCAGGGGAAAAAAAAAAATTTCCTAGAGGAGATAAGAAAAAAGTTCAGTGGTAGAATGCATGTAAGGTTCTGAGTTGTCTCCTGGACCTTAGGAAATAATATGTAAAATTTAAAAGCTTCCTTAAAGAAACAATGTTCAATGTTCCCTATATTACAGATGTCAAAACTATAGGTCAGAGATGTAAAGGGTTTTTGTTTTAGTTTTTTTTTTTTTTTGTCAGTCATGGGGCTTGGACTCTGGGCTTGGGGGCTGTCCCTGCACTCTTCAGCTCAAGACGAGCGCTCTATCACTTGAGCCACAGTGCCATTTGCAGTTATCTAGTGGTTTATTGGAGATAAGAGTCTCATGGACTTTCTTTCCGGGGCTTGGCTTTGAACTGTGATCCTCAGATCTCAGCCTCCTGAGTGGCTAGGATTACAGGCGTAAGCCACCAGCACCCCACTTTGTTTTAGTTTTTTGTACAAGGGTTTTTAAGTCACAGAAAATAGAATAAGGGCTGGGAAAGTGGCTCAGTGATAGAGCGCTTGCCTTGCATACATGAGGCCTTGGGTTCGATTCCTCAGCACCACATAAGCAAAAAGAAAATAAAGGCCAAAGTGGCGCTGTGGCTCAAGTGGTAGAGCGCTAGCCTTGAGCTGAAGAGCTGAGGGACAGCACCCAGGCCCAGAGTTCAGGCCCCACAACCGGACCCCCCAAAAAAACAAAAAAGCAAAACAACAACAAAAAAAAGAAAATAGAATAAATAGCAATGATCTTTTGGGTTGCTATGAAATATAAGCCCTCTATGAAAATAGGGCTCTTTTAAAACAAACCAGCAAGCTGGGTTTTTTGTTTCGTTTTTTGGGTTTTTTTGTTTTTTTTTTTGCTAGTCCTGGGGCTTAAACTCAGGACCTTGGAACTCTACCACTTGAGCCACAGCGCTACTTTCCAGCCTTTTCTGTTTATGTGGTACTGAGGAATCAAACTCAGAACTTCATGCTAGGCAAGTACCTTACCACTAAGCCACATTTCCACTCCCAAACCAGCTAAAGTTAAAGCTTTTTGTTGTTGTTGTTTCTGAATAACAATGTTGTTTATGTGGAATCTGGATTAAGGGATTTAGAGAAACAGCAAGACTGGAGAATAGCCTATTTATTGGCAAGGCTGTTACTGGCTGCCTGTGGTATCCATTTACATCTTTTCACACATCTCAACTTTTGGAGTTAGTACCAATGGAAGTTAGTGATTCCATACTCACTGAACCCATTTCCTGGCCAAGTGCTGCATTCACCACTCCTTTAAGGATATACTCCTGGAAACATAAAATAAAACTGATTAATTTAATGGGGAGATGAAAGTATGTAATGTCATCCTTGTTAGCCCTTTGCAGCAAATCAGAATTTCTTATATTGGGTTATTCTGTGTTCTACCTCTGGCTTATAGTTAATTTCTAGAGGCAAATGTCCACATAACAGAATTCATTGTGGGCTGGGAAGGTGGCTCAGTGGTAGAGCACTAGCCTTGAGCTGAAGAGCTGAGGGACAGGGTCCAGGCCCAGAGTTCAGGCCCCATGACTGGACCCCCCTCCCCCCCAAAAAAAATTCATCATAACTGCAAATTCTCAATCTTAAGAAGGACACAGTGGAAGCACTGAGAGATAAGTTTTACTTCAACCCAGGGTGGAAAAAATAGTCAAGCTTTTTCATGATCAGCTACTATTACTTTTCTTTTTTCTTTTTTTTTTTCTTTTGTCAGTTGTGGCCCTGGGCACTGTCCCTGAGCTCTTCAGCTCAAGGCTAGCACTCTACCACATGAGGCTTTCTCTGCTTATGTGGTGCTGATGAATCAAACCAAGGGACTCATGCATGCAAGGCAAGCACTCTACCACTGAGCCACCTTCCCAGCCCTATTACTACTTTCTATAAACATATCATACCTATGTATATATACACACTTGTGTATTATAAAAATAAAAAAATATAATATATGAATATATGCATAAATATGTATATTTCCAGTGCTATAATAACCTTCACTATTGAGCCTTTTCCTCAAAAACAAAACAAACAAAACAAAAATATGCTTTCTGATTCCTACTTCTCTTCTAGAATCCAAAGGCCTCGTCTGCATCTTTTTTTCCCCTGACGTGGTTCAATTTTTTTAGTAGATAACTTCCCTTAGTAGTTTTATCCTTTTTTTTTCCCCCCCAGAGCTGAGGACTGAACCCAGGGCCTTGCGTGCCCCGGGCAGGCGCCCTTCCGCTGGGTTAACCCCCCAGGCCCAGTTTTATCCATTTGTATTTATGGGAGTTCATTAAAAGAGCAACACAAAAACTGCTGATGCTTTTTTTAAAAATAGAGTGATTTTAAAATATTTTTTGTGCTAGTCCTGGAGCTTGAACTCAGAGCTGGGGTGCTGTCCCTAAGCTTCTTTTGCTGAAGTCACAGCTCTACTTCCTGCTTTTTGATAATTTTACTGGAGATAAGAGTCTCATGGACTTTCTGCCCAGGCTGGCTTGAAACTGTGATCCTCAGATCTCAGCCTCCTGAGTAGCTGTGAGCTCTTGGTGCCCAGCTTAAAATATTTTTGATTGATATACAGTATTTGTATATATTAAGAGATGCAAAGTCCTGTTTTGACTTGTGTAAATATGGGGCAGGGATCAAGGCAGGGTAAAGAGCATTTCTATAAAATGAAACTGCTATCTTGTCTCAGTTTTGGCCTGGGCTAGTTTCAAATGATTCTTTTGATCTTGGCCTTCCAGATAGCTAGGAGTATAGGCATGAACAACCACACATCAACCCTTTTTGAGAGACCAAATACATATAAAGAAGTTTAGCCACATCAAAAAGCCTGTAATAGCCGGGTGCCAGGGCTCACGCCTCTAATCCTAGCTACTCAGGAGGCTGAGATCTGAGGATTGTGGTTCAAAGCCAGCCCAGGCAGGAAAGTCCCTGAGACTCTTATCTCCAGTAAACCACTTAGAAAATGGGAAGTAGCACTGTGGCTTAACGGGTAAAGCACTAGCCTTGAGCTGAAGAGCTGAGGGACAGCACCCAGGCCCTGAGTTCAAGTCCAGGACTACCACCACCAACAAAAAGCTAGATTATAGGCATAGTTGAAGTGGTAAGAGTGCTAGTTGAATGAGCAAGCCAAGTAAGCATGAGGCTCTGAGTTCAAATGCTGGTATTGATACAGTTCAAGCTCCACAACCAACAAATGCAAAAAGCCTGTCACATTTTTTTTTTGCCAGTCATGGGGCTTGAACTCAGGACCTAGGTACTGTCCCTGAGCTGCTTTTGCTCAAGCCAACATTCTACCACTTGAGCCACAGCACCACTTCCAGCTTTTTCTCTGTATGTGGTACTGAGGAATCAAATCCACGGCTTCATGAATGCTAAGCAAGTACTTTACCACTATACCACATTCCCAGCCCACCTGTAACATTCTTCTATCAAAAGTCTCACATTTTCCTAGCCATGGAGGATCAAGGTTCAAAGCCAACATAGGTAGAAAAGTCTGTGAGCTTCATCTCCAAGTAACTAGCAGAATGCCAGAATGAACTCATGCCTCAAGTGGCAGAGCACCTGATGTGAACAAGGAAGCCAAGCTAGAGTTAAAGCCCTGAGTTTAAGTCCTAGTACTAGCATACACACACACAAAGTCCTAGGTTAATATATATGGTCTTTCCTAGGACTCTACAAGCCACAATATTCTCTAGCTATATGTCTGAAGTTCTACTTTCTACATTACTGGTTCAGTAAAAATGTACAGTTTCAGCTGGGCTCATGCCTGTAATCCTAGCTACTCAGGAGGCTGAGATCTGAGGATCATGGTTCAAAGCCAGCCCAGGTAGGAAAGTCCATGAAACTCTTATGTCCAGTTAACCACCAGAAAACCAGAAGTGGCACAGTGGCTCAAAGTGGTAGAGCACTAACCTTGAGCTGAAGAGCTCAGGGACAGCACCCAGGCCCAGAGTTTAAGCCCCATGTCGACCAAAAAAAAAAAAAAAAAAAGTACAGCTCTAGTTACCTGTGGAGTAGTAGGTTCCAGATCCTTAATTAAGTTATAAGCTTCTTGTACATCATCTGAAATATAAAACATGGGTAGTTATGCTAATCTATATGCCTGAAGCCATCCCAAGAAAAAGGAACAACTACCAGAAAAGGGTAAGAAAAACAATGGAATATGAGTAGAGAGAAAAGGCAGTAGGATAAGGGGAAAATCAAAAACAAGAGAGAAAAGGGGGGCAGCAGCAGAAGAGAGAGAAGATAAAGAGAAAGTACTAAATCAGTTTTGTCTTATGAAGTTGGTACTGATAGATCTTAGGAAGAATTATGTATTTAACACATACAACAAATAGTTCAATTAAATATTCTAAAATATGTTGCTATAAGAACAAGATAAATTTTTCTAACCTTGACGAAGATAGTAAATCACTAGGTTTAGCCTGGCTTCGGGAATCACGTCAACCAGAGGAGGTAAGACTTGCAAGGCCCCTTCACCTCCTCGGAAAACCACCTAGACATTGAGAAATTCTGTTACTGCTGCCATATGTAGGTATAATATGTTAGTGGAAATGTTAATCATGAACTGGGTTCAGTTACCATAGTTCTGGGTCAGTTAACATAATGGGAACTTCTACTGTTGGTTAAATTTAGTATTACCTTAAGTGATCCCATGCTTTTTATCCCCTCCTTTTCCTTCCCTTGATCCTTCTAATCATCCTATGTTAATTTACTTCCACTGTGGCTAAAACCTATCTATATCATCACTCTCTGTCTTCTTTCCCTTCTTCACCCACAGTACTGCATCTTTCACTCATAGTACTGCATCATTCATACACCGCATCTGGTTTTTGTTTTTTTTTAACCAGTCCTGAGGCTTGAACTCAGGGCCTGGGCACTATATCTGAGCTTCTTTTGCTCAAGACTAGCACTCTACCACTTGAGCTAAAGCGCCACTTCCAGGTTTTTCTGTTTAATGGTACTGAGGAATTGAACCCAGGGCTTCATGCATGCTAGGCAAGCACTCTACCACTAAGCCACATTCTCAGTCATACACTGCATCTTATCATATATTTTTTCATTGGTGTTTGTTGCACTTTTATTTAGTATGCACCCAGCCCCAAGAACTGTGGCTGATGTTGTCATCATGTTTATTTCTAAAAGAATATGTTTTTGAAGCCGGGCGCTGGTGGCTCACGCCTGTAATCCTAGCTACTCAGGAGGCTGAGATCTGAGGATCGCGGTTCAAAGTCAGCCCGGGCAGGAGAGACCAT